CCCCAAAACCCCAAAACCCCAAAACCCCAAAACCCCATTGAAATTTTGGGGTATTTTGATATTTAAGCGAAATATTAAGATTATCAGAGAATAGGCAGAGTATAGTTCAAAAATATGCGAAATTAGGGAAATTTAGAAAATTAACAATGAGAAACAACATATTCCTCACTTCTTTATCAGAAAGTAGAAACATTTAGACTCTAAATTTGAACTCACCTATGCATCCTTAATCTTTAATTAAATTAAACTAGGACTTAATCTTGAGCAGCTAATTGGGTATATCTAAAGACAAGAGGAATGCTGCCTCAAACCACTAAGTTTTATCTCTCATTACTCCAATAAGGATGAGCTTAAAGATATTCGTTCAAGTGTTCCTAAGAGGCAGGAAGATTTCATAGCTTTAGATCTCCGAAATAAGCTGTCTGACTAATATTCCTCTTCAAAATGTTAGTATGAGTCCTATTATTAGATCTCTGGAGTTATATTTTTGATAAAGAGCGATGACAGAGCTATAAGAGCCTGAATAATTTTCCTTCCCCCTCTTTTATTAGTTTGAAGTTATTTAGTGATGTAGCTAGTTTTATCTGTATCTTGATCCAGGTGTTTTCTTAGGATGTTCTGCCTTATTCTTGGAGATCCTATTCGTCATCATACTTCAAGCAAGCTATTTTGTCCAAATTGGGAAGGCCCACAGGACGTAATTCTGTACAGATGGGATGAACAGCGTGAGAGGTTGGCAATCAACTTTCTTTTGTAGAAGGCCAGTGAGTCTTCTTTAGATAATATTGACTGTATTCAATCAGGGATGTTCTAGATCAGCATGAGAAACGCTATATTGATGCTACTTTTTATTCAGGAATTTCTTTGAAGTTCTAGGAAATTGGACAAATTCAGAGACAATTATTTTTATGGAACTTTAAGTGGCATTTATGAGTCAGTTTTTAGATATGATCTTTTAAAATATCGAATGGCATTGCAGCACTAACATTTGAGATTCAATCTAATATTTCTTCTCAGAGTTTTATTAAAAGAGCCAAGTGTGATGGGCGGCAATGAGAGATGCATACTTCAGTGAGGTCTATTGCTTTAGACCCTACTGCGTCAGTCATATTTATTAAATATTATTTACTTTTCAACCAAAATTAGGTACTAGGGGTTTTGGGGTTTTGGGGTTTTGGGGTTTTGGGG